CTGCAAATTCCTTCCAGAAACTTTTTCACAGCATTTTTTTTACAAAAGTGGTGGAACATAGTGAGGAAGGCATTTTCGGGAATCCTATAATCTCAGAGCCCAGCAGACATTGCTTCATCTACTGATTTCTATCATTTCTGTAACAGGAACCTTGTGAATTTTGTTCTCCTTTTCGTTTCTTTCTTTTTTTTCTTTCTTTTTTTCTTTATTTCCTTCCTTCTTTCTTTATCTTTATCCATTTTCCTTCCCCTTTGTCTTTGTCTTTCTCTTTTCCGTTTTTTTTTCTTTTCCTAGATATACAACGTGTCAGATCTGAATGATTTAATAGGACTTGAAGGCCCTAATTAGTTCAGTGGCCTTAGCATTTCTGCTCTTGAACATCTGTCACCGTCCGGCCGGGACAGCGACCGCGGCGACTGAGCACAGTAAAAGGCCAATGATTAATGATGAGTGGTGGTGGTGGTGGTATAAAGAGGTAATCAATTTCATGGCTGAAAAATGAAGAGGAAAAACTGAGGGGTTTTTATGAAAATCTGTCAATGGAATAGATTATCAGTGGCGACGAAAAGGACGCAATTTAATTGGCTCGAAATGACTAATAGCCATGACTAAGAATGGTAGTCTTAGGCGAGTAGGAATTACTCTAGGAGTTGAAAGAATTTGTAAGTGTTCTTCCAAACCCAGTTCATTCTAAATTCCGCTCCATTTTCTTGGCTCGCACACTTTCGAGGCAAGATAAGAAACTACAACATTCCCTGAAAAGATTTCAAGATGAAAGATGAAGAAAAACCTTCTTCATAATCTTTCACATCATGACTCCGGCCACGGATGTTCTTTTCCAGCAATCTACTTCAGAAAAAAAAATAAGAAAAAAAAGAAAGAAGGCGATAACAAGGCACTAAGTAACCCGTTGAGGCTTATCATGTCTTCGGCTAGAGCTCAAATGCGGATTGTCGAAGTCGTTTCGGATATTACTTGTATCCTCCCATACCTCCCATGGAAGGATGATGCCAAGTATCTGACACGCGTAGTTCGATCTTTTAGTATCGTGAAAAATGAAGAAGGGCAAGAGGTGATCGACTAGTTAGGCTGAAACTTTTTAGAAAAAATTCTGAACGATTTTTTTGAAAAGGTTGAGGCTGTGAAGTGACCTTGGCCCTCTCTGGACAATCATCAACCTGAAAGTTCAATTTCATACTACTCTTATATTATTAGTTGAAGGTGCGTCCATACGCTCCATGGTTACAAAATCGGTGAGGCTGGAAGTGCATCGTCGCCACCCGCAACCCTTAATCGGAGAGCCGGAAAATTGAATCAGTTGGATTTAGGCGTCACCTGGATGGACTTCTTGAACGAGTGGTTCGGTCAGCTTGGGGTTCAGGTTGGAGCTATAGTTTTTCGTACTGGATGGAGTCCAAGGTGGCAAATATCTTGTGTTCAGATGCACTAAGGAGTGCTCTTCAGAACTACTGGCGTTCTTACTCTAGAAGGAAATCTTGCCAGTCGCTCCTGCTACCGTTTTGTTACTGTAATCCTGTAGTTACTGGTGCGTCAATGTGAGTTTGCTGGAATTGGCGTATCAGTGGTTGGTTCAGCTGGCTAGAAACGACTCTTTTACGGAAGGTAAAAAGAAGGTTCGAGTAAGCTATGCTCTCTTCAAGTTTGTGATTATTAGTGGTCCCATCGAAGCAAGTGCTTCATAATCCTATATCACCAATAAATTAAAAATTAAGAAATTGATTTCCGGAGCTTTGAAGCTTCCCAAAACTTTGTCCTCTTGAGCTACCACTGAACAGGCTTTCTGTGACGATCTAAAAAAATCATTTTCAGAAATTTTGGAAGGGGTTTTTTCACAAAACCTCTTCAGAAGAAAGCTTAAAAAGACTTTGCATCTTGGGAATTCTTTTTACTTTTGAGAACCGAGGAGGCTAGAAGGCCATGCTTCAGACGTGGGCGGCCTAGTTTTGGCATCACTGCAAACCTGAGAAACAATAGAGAGGAGCAAGATCGACTAGGTGTCAGCTCGAGTGATCCCATAGGCGCTCAGCTCTTGAGATGTTATGAATAGAATTCTGAAAGGCTGTCCAACACCGTCTGACTGACAGTTTCATTTCGATTGCGTCCGGAATCGATTTATAAGGCAGGTCAATAGAGTTATTATCTATGAGTGGATAATCGGACTATCGGTCTCGTACGGGGAGTGACGATGACAATGTGGCCAGGTGTGCGCTGGTCCGATTTCATTCACAATCCCCCCTTACGCCATTGTGGCGCCATTGGTTCGCATCGAATTCCCCCCACTCACTTAATTGGTCGATTGCTCAAATTGTCGAACATTTGGGATTGCAATGACACCTGCCCATATGCATATCTGGGCAGGGGAAATAACTGACAATAACTCAACTATGTTTCTGCCCCTCAACCTGATCAAGACAGAACAGCTTCACTGGGTTATCGACGTTGTCACCCTCGTCAAGGCCTAAAACTCGAAGGTGAACGAGACTGGACCATAGTAAAGCCAAGCAAAGCCAGCACTGACAGAAAAGCTTAGCACCTTCAATTAGTTACAGCAAACGAAGGCTTAAAAAGGTGACCTTTGATGGGAACAACCTATTTTGGATGCTCGCCCGCATTCAACTCCAGAATTATAGTTGCAAATTGAATGGATGTCTGGCCTATACAATAAATTGTGGGGACCAGCCTATATATAAGGCAATTCTTCAATCCTCCCAGATGATTCTGGCACCAACTAATCGACCTGGAGGAATGGGAGGCTTGGTGAAGGAATATTAGTCCAGAATTCCATCCTCAGGTCACGTGCGTGTAATAGTAAGCCGTTTACCACTAACCATCCCCTCCATCGAAGATATGAACTACTAAAAAGTATGACAACACGGGGAAGAGTTCATTTTCCGAGAATCGGTCTAGCTCCTAACCTAACAGGTCCTGTTTCTCTTCTTAGTGAACAGTATGTCAGCAACCAGAAGGTTCTGGATTTGATCTCTCACTAGTGCCATGTTTTAGGTCATCTGTTGCTTCTAGTTTTCCATGCGAGTCATTCCTGAATAGAAACAAAGATTATAATGAAACTACTTATGAGGTTCATCATCAGAGAGATGAAGAATGAACCGTCTACGCAGTGGTTTTGATTTGAAGGAGAAAACCCTATGAAATTTCCATTTAAATTCAAAAGAGAGAACTATAATAAGGACAGATGGGGATTGAATTGCCGTAAGAGCATTCCCCGGAGGTGAGTTGAGCGACAGTCACTTAAAATGGAAATGAACTCGATCAACCATGGTATACACAATCCTAATTGTTCACATTAGGGTTTTTCACCCACGATATGAACAGGAAGGGGACCTGCTATGCCTTCACGTTAAAAACACTTTGAACTCAACAGAGGGCTTTACTTGCCGTCTGTTTCGCCTAAGACACCGGACCGGGAGGAGATCAGACTGAGTCCTTTCTTATTCCTGGAACCTGGAAACAAATATATGCAAAACAATAATGATAATACTTTTTGTAGGGGCTATTGACGTGTGCAGAGGCTCGCTGATGAAGTGGGACGGCTTGCGCATGGCTGCTTTCCTATTTCAGACATTTTCAGTACCAACCAAATGAAGCTCCGTTAGGATGAACGGTATTCCAGCCGCTGTTTAGGTCCAAAATGGTAATAAAACTAACTGCATTGGTAAGATATGCAACCACATATCTCTAACCGTATTCATGAACATTTAATCGAGTTTGTGATACTGTTGTCTTGATTACTTGTTAAACTTCTCCACGCTGCTCTTTATTACAGGACAAAATGGTTAAAGGAGACAAAACTAGAAGAGGATTAGTCAGTCCGGGATCGTAATCAGCTCTTGGAACAGGTAACCTCTGCCACAAGACGGAGCGAAATCTTAATCTGCTCTTAGAATATCGGGTACCCACTTCTCACTGGTCAGAAGCTATGTATACGCATTTGGGATAGTTGGGATAGTTGAGTGTCAACATTTAGTTTGGTCTCAAGGGTCGCAGTGGTTCAAGGGTTCCAACTGACGTGAGTGAAGGATAATTCCACGATTACGTCACCTTGCTCTCTGTCTGCAAGTTATCAGAGCGCTATAGGTTGCATCTGGACACGGAGATACGAAAGTCCAGTCCGGCACCCTGCTCTTACAGTAACCCCTGGTGCCGGATTACTGTAAGAACCGAGTGCCGGACTGAATTTTCGTTTCTGTTCTGGACACAGTGCCACCAGCAAAGCAGAGCAGAGGGGAGACTCTCTTGATTATCAGTCGAATAAATGAAAAGCTGTCTAGTGATTGTGAGAAGATAAGACGGATACATAAAGGAGGTGCCTCGGTCGAGTTGCTTCATTCATTTCGCCACTAACTCGCCGTCGCGCCCAGCTCATCACCAGTGAATGCTTTTAGGATTCAAGCAGTCCAGCATTATAGCACGGCATCTTTGCTGTGGCAGTCAACGTGAGTACGTACCGGACGAAAGCCATGTGGGACTTGATCTAAAGTCTGAAGGAGGCTTAGTAGCACAGCGTTCGTTCGACCCAGCAAAAACAGAATTGTGGTAAGGTGGTACCGGTCAAACTTTTTTAGATGAAGTCCTGGAATATTGTACAGCTATCTGGGTCAGATTCCCTTAGATGACATCCTGGCTGGGTGAACCAGTGAACTGATCACCAGTTCTGACGGCTATATCTTTGCTGCAAGTAAAACCCCGAAGTTTCCAGGGATGATTCTTTCTTGCAGTTACTGGATCGGTCAAACGCATGTAGTAGCTTATAGTCCCGAACNCACATGAGCAAGTTGATGTGCCTATTGGTCCCTTCCAAACGATGGATTCGTCCCCTCATTCGTTTCCCTCTGAGATATGGTTTATGCCTTAGTAAAATATTGGAGCACAGTGAAAACCTTTCAAAAGTTGATGCTTCAGTTTCGTTGGCTCGCCCTCTAACTACTAACCCATATTCCCACCATACAACGGACACCCAAATGGTTGTAAGGTAAGTATAAGACGATTTTTTTAATCTTTGACGAATGTTCCACTCAACTTTGAGGAGAATCCCACGGCGGTCTGCTAGAAAAAGCTTTTCTGAACACAACGATCGTCGTTCTGCCAAGAAATTTCTCATAAGTGAAGTGAGCAGATGAAACTGTAGTGCATCGTACTTTATTTACAAACAAACGTGTTTACAGCACCCGATCGCCTTACTACCCCCGCGTGGCCATGAGGAAGAGGAAGAATACCAATTCCATGTTCCATATCCAAAGTTGGTTTCTCCTTTCCCGTCAGGCTAGTCGACGACTTCCCTGAATGACATCTTTCCAGAGAAATTGTGAAGTACTTAGACAAGTTCGTTATCGGCCAGGAACTTGCAAAACGAACATTAGCAGTCGGAGTTTATCAGCATTATAAACGATTGAAAAACAACACTGAAATACAAAATGTCAGTTAAAATCGTCAATTATTTCGATTTCGGAGACGAAAACAAGCTCCACCAGGATATACAGAGAGTTTTAACATTCTTTACTATTAGAACCTCATGATGACGGTCAAGACGAATTTTGTAGGACCTACTGCCAGATTGACTGTCCTTTTCAGAATTCAGAGCAGCATCTGGCTCTTACAGTGACCGTATCGTGGAATAAAATGCAACAGATACAGATATCGCTGGAAACTTTCTTTATTGCTCAAAACACCCTTAATTCAGCACCAATTCCAACGCCGTTGCGTGTACGGTATACCAAAAACAGTTCTAAACAACTGAGCAAAAATGCACCTAGTCGGGCTTCTGAAGGCCGAAGTGTCCGTTCAGTATCTTCGATTTCGAGTCGATTGGCGACTTGAGTTACTCATGGCAAGGAGCGATGGATTGCTGCGAGATCCATATGTTGGCTTATCACTCCTCCTACCATAAAGGATAAGGATAAAAGTTTTGGC